CCAATATTAAAACGATAAACAACAATAACACACGAAAAAACAGTAAACTATTTGTTTTTACCAGTAATCTTCTTTAAGTGATTTATGGACAGCATCAAGACAGGACACATATATAAATATGCTCCTAAAAAGGCTTCACCCTACAGCGCCATAGAACCCAGCAACATACCAACTGAAGAAAAGTAAGTGGTTGGGTAGATGGTTAAGAGGTTAAATGTGAAGTTAAGAGCAAACAAGACATTGTAGGAGCTGCTCAGTTGATCTACTTCAAAGCTTTCTTTGTCAAATTCCCACTCCAAGAGGAACTCCAGCCCACTTAACTCGTGTCCTGTTTGGATAGCAGTCAAAGTCTTTCAGAGAAAAGGCATATCCTTGTTCTTAAGCTCATGGCCTCCAGGAACGAGCCCTCAAGGAAAGGAGGTGATTGCTGCTAAAGTCGAAACCCAGTGAAACCACAGTGAAAAGGTCTCTTGGGAGGCATAACTGCAATGTTAAGTGTAACTTCCAACAATACTCAATCCACGGAAAATAATATATTTCACTTTAACTACAGTGACTATGTGCATCATATGGTGCATTACTCAGTAAATCTCAACAGATAAAAAGTACAAAAACATACATATGCCACCCATCTAACACGTGCACACACACACACACACTTCTCCCACATGCAAAAGATAGGACAGCAGATATAACAACATACCGACTTTTTATAACCAGAAAAGTGAAAAATACCCAAAAAGTTTTATGAGAAAACATAAAAAAACAAAACATTGATGCGGTGACAGGAATAGTCGATTAGGGGAGTATACAGTGGAAAATTCACATTTTTAGAACAGCCATGAACTCCACCTTTTAAGACCTTTAATCAGTGAGGGGTGAGGGTACAGCCCTCTTTGAGTTGGTTATTTTAAGATCATAAAAAAGCTCCTGAACAAAACAACCTCAGTTTAGACTACTTAAAGAGTGGTGTTAAACATCTACAATTAATCTAACATTTCACCAATCATCACACAGAGAAAAAGAAAAAAGTCTCAAAGAGGACCTCAACGTAAAGAGGGACAGAGCCACATTAATTTTTCAAATCAGAAACCTCAACTTCCTGTGACAAACGCCAGCTGCTTGGTAGGAAAGTCAAATGGCCAGTTAGTCTTCAGTCAGCCGGCGCGCAGAGAAAGACCACACGTTCCTCAGTTCAAAAAGATAAAATGATAGCTCTCTGCCAGATTATGATTTCTCACTCAGAAAAGAGCAACGCAGCCTGTCAGCCTGAGATGAATGTGCCAACTTTCAGTGCCGTGGATGGGACTAATTGCTACCTCTTCACCACCGAGTACAGCTGACATGATGTTTGTCTAAGTGAGAGCTCCAAACAAATTGTTAGCTCTGCAGAAAACATATTTGGGTATTTTCTTCTTGTGAATGTGTTCCCAAAATGTTTCAAATGTTCAGATCCACAGACTGAATAATGCCAACCAAGGCAGCAGGTGGTTGACAGGTGAGGCAAACCTTTCCCATCGCTAAATGTAAGGTTAGTTTGAGACGGCAGGGCTACAAAAAGAAAGATGAAAGAATAAAAAAATCTGGATCTGGACACCAGTCATCCGTTTGTGGGTTTGAAAGAAGGAAAGACCCTGAGATGAAAGGCTTCTTACAGTTTTTTTTGGAATGTCTTTTCATTGTTTTTCCAAATGGTGACTAAACTGGAGCATTATGCAGCACATCATGCAGGAGGCTTGCCGGGTGTGACCAGAAACCTCATCCTTGCGAGTGGTGCTTGTCTAAATAACAGTTTAATCTTAACAACACTGAATAACAAGTCAAAGCATGTGTTGACCCTACAAATGATGTTTTAAGTATTTTTTTTTGAGTGGGCCAAGTGCGTGTACATCAGTGGGGATTTCATTTGTAATGCAAGGGAAATGCATTTGTGTGGGCGGCAGTTCATTTTCAGACGCCCCGGGTCTGGTCTCCAGTGTTTAGAGTTCCATGGTCGGGTCAGTGGAGAGGTATTGGTTTGCACACTGTGAAGATTAGACGCTCGATGACTCGGAAACTGATCTGTGGCAAACCTGACGCCAGATTCTCTTTTCTGTTCAATCTTCCATTCTGCCTCTTATCCTTGGTCTAACTTATCCAATCGATGAACATAAAGAGGTGGCAGTGGTGGCATTGAAAAACATGAAAAAGAGGAAGGAAGGACTGGAAGTGTTGTATCCCCAGTATTTTCTTCAAAATGTATTTAAGTGTCTAAGCGTACATACATTTGTCCTGAACAAAGGGGTTCCACTTAATTTAAGTGTCTTGATTATTACAGTGGTGATCCAGACCTCTACATCACTACTTCGATTTTTGCATTAGTAATTCTGATTCTTAAAACATCCCAAAGTTTCTGCAGTAGGTAGCTAAATGTTTTGCCTATAATTGGCTCTTATCTGCAACTTGGCTGACATCTCTTAAGTCTTTTATTATGTAAACAGTCATTACAATGATACGGCCAGTTTTATGGTTGGTTGAAGACATAGCTGCCATCTCCATACTGCTGCTCACACAGAGCCTGAATCACTTAGTACAACAGGAAACCACACCATCAAAAAGGGGATGATAAATGATGATCATCCTCATGATGACTAGGCACTAATGGTTACCTGCAACACTGACTGGATGACACACACTTCTCAGATCTGCCAGTGTTTGGCAAATTGCTAGTGGTCATTTCCAAGTATGCTCACACTCTTTCTCAGTGGTATTTTTGTTTTGTTTTTCAGAAATAGGGTTCTTTGTTTTTCCATTTTTCCATTAAAATAAAGACTTCTGATTTGTTTTCAATTGGATGTGTGCTCCCATGTAACTGTACTTGCTCATGATCTCACAGTAGTTGACGACTGTTCTTCCCAACTCCAATGGGAAATGATCAGACAATTTCCATTCACACATAAGATCACACAAAAACTCCAATCTACTGTCCCAAAATAAACCCACACTGTGTGCTGGCACACATAAACCATTTCCGTCCAGAGGAACTATAAAACCAACAGTGGACCTTATGACAGGGAAAATCACTGCTGATGCAACGTTATAGAAAATTAATGTACTGTGAATTACATCTCCTGAAGCTCATCTGGGTGTACACAGACAGATAAGACTGCATTATCAATACAAACCAGAGAGTGGATTCCTGATCTGATTTACTGAGTGGTAGCTTAGCCAATAGAAACAGAATAATACAATGTTTCATGGGTGTAAGTGTATGCATGGTTTAAAGATATCTTCATTGTGATGTGTTTAGGCTAAACACATACTGGGCGAGGAGCACTGGTACATTTCTGTCTGGCCAGAGACGTGTCTGTAGCTGCTCTGCTCTAAAGTGATTTACACAGAGTCAGTGTGTCGATGCACATATGAAGTCCCAATTCCCTCCCCACTCACAGACAGGCGTACATTTCTCATCTTCAATGGTCCCTGGAGGTGTTCTCCTGTATGTCAGTGTGTGTGTGGGGTCCAATATTTACTCCAAGATGGATGGAAACATACTGTATGCCAGAATCACATGAGCCCCAGGACACATTACGAGACAGGAAGGAAGAAATAATGGTAGGCGCACACAACAGACGGATAGCCACATGCAGGTTAGAGGACACTGGAGACAAAAGGTCGTAGATCAGTTTTAGTTTGTCCTAATCAGCGTGCTGTGAGCTGAGCCCTCAAAACACTCACACCAGTCAGGATACACACAAACTCCTTTGTCAGACAACAGGTAGAAACACAATGCTCTATACTAAGAACAGCAAAGCAGCAGTTGTGGTCAGGTCTACATAATAGAGAGCTATCCGAAACAATGTGCTGAACCAGTATAATCAAACTAAAATACAATCCAGAATAGGGCTGTGACTTTTTTTTGTACAGAAAGAAAATCTTCTAGTGAACTAATTCATGGGGAATGATCTGAAGCTCATGCCCACCTAATCACTTGGATGGTGTATATATATATATGTGTGTGTGTGTGTGTTCACTGGGTCTGATTTTGTTTTGTTGGTCTGAATCATGAAAGTTAAACAGCACTGTAATTTGCTCTGAATGAGAGAGTTTGGCAAATGCCATAATTGTAAACGTGAATAAACAGTAAACGTACTGTGTGAAGAACAACCTGCTTACTCAGGATGGTGGACACATGCTCTCTAACATGGAGAATAAAAAATTAATTAGCTTCGGCCCATCTGTCGTTTTTTTATCACCCTTTTTACTGAAACATATTAAAGACATCCACACTCTGTGGTGTCTGGGCTCTCTGGAGTAACCATTAGCCTACACCAGAGAGCTTATAAACTGGTACACAAAGCAGACCACTTCCCCATGTGCTGTTACCAACAATGTGAGTCTACACAGACACTGAAGTGGGCAATATTAACCCATGCTGAGCTACTTTCATAGCAGTGACCATGACGGAAAAAAGGAGTAGTCGGTAATGGGCAGATTAGAATAATCCACTTGGGCCCGATGCCGAGCACTTGACCCCAGCAAGCGTTGCCACAACAATACTCACACCCATCAGCTATAAACAGCAAGGCATGAAATATGTGGAGCGGGTCAGGAAAAGGACTTGAACATTAGAAACAAGGTGAGGAATGTACACCTGAGCTGTGTTGTTGAAAGCAGATGTGAACATAGTGAAGATGGCATCAAAAGCCATTGGGCCTCATTCTTAACAAAACCAACACATGAGGACACATGCTGAAATGTCCTGTAAACGTTTCCGAGGCTCCTGAAAAGCCAACACACATCATACCTCGCTGACCAATGTCAACCACGGCGCTGATCACCTTAAGAAAAATACACACTTTCAACCTCAAAAGTATGGTTAGCGCACACAGCACCAGAGCTTTCCTAACGACAGCACCATTAGCACCTCTGCCATGCACGCCTAAAAAAGCAGACTGGAGTCGGACCCTTCGGCGCCAAACTCCCGCTGAGGATTAAATTAACTCATCAAAACAAACTACTGGTTGCTCTGGAGGCTCCTAGCGGACTGGCATCTCCAAAGAATTCATCCATCTTCCACCAAAGAGGGTCCTCAGTTTGAGCCAGAGGCCCTTGATGGCTGGACTTGTGTCTATGGTCGGCCTGTTTGGAGGCTCAGTGGATAGGATTACATGTCAGGTCATTTCACTGTGAAAACAAGGGAATTTGACTCACAAACAATGTTTCATATTACTCCCACAGTGTCCTTGTTACGCTGTCTAATAAAATCAGTTATTAGTCATTAAAAACAGTGGTGGTTCCTGTTTTTGTTTTTTTCCTGTGAATAACTATATAATATGCATGTGAATCAGACTTAGGCTGCCTTAAATTAAAGAAAATTATAATAAGCCTCATATTTTTTTCCCCCTTGTATCTTCCTAATCTGCAAACTTAAAGTATGTAAAAAAAAAAAAAAAACATGCAAAGAAACTGTAATGAAAATTTCACAACACACAAACCCGGTTTTATCTTCCTTACTTAAAGGTTTACGCAGTGTGTAACTTGTTTAGCAAGCGCTCCTCTTCGTAGGCACGAGGAACAATGGGAATGTATTGCAACTTCTGGGAAGTATTTGGTTCATGTCATTACTGGATATTCTGCACCTGAAAATAACGGAACGGTGTTTTGTTACTTCTTGTTGAAAAGTTCAGCCTTTTCGAAACTCATGGCAACTATAATCGGAAACATAAGACGCGTACAACTCACACGGGACTCTGGTTCGCCACACAACACTCATGAGCTAAGAATGATGTAGCACATCTGTGGCCATGGTGAGCTACGGAACACCCAAGGTGAACGTCGAAACTCTGTTGTCAATGCGTGATTACACGTTTGATTCGTATTTCACTCGTGGTATCCATAGTATGTCCGGGAAACAAAGCCTAAAAGTTACTGTTACTGTTGTGTCTGTGGTCACGCTTTTGTGCCATTTTTGTAACTAGATGATTGCCTAATTTTTAGTTTCCAGGGCAGGTCCTGCGTCTGTGCTCTATGCAACGCAGCTATTAGTGTCTTTGGTGTTTCCTATGTAAAGTCGGATAATTCCACTGGACGTTGTTAGGGCTAACTGACGACAGAAGGTACTGCTAGGCGAGAAAATCGGAGGGCCAGCGACCGACATTAGCAGTCCCCCTCATGCAATCGATTCAGGTGGGAAGAACCAGCAGAGAAGCGTCTGCGGAGACCAACAAAAGACGCTCTGTGGTGGACGTGCAACGAAGACACCACACCACAGTGACAACAAAGCTTTGGTACACACAACACTTCCACATGCAGTACATGTAAGCATGTGGCCAAGCAGCATCCGCCCAATCACGAGCTGATGGTTTACTCAATTATGTAACGAAGTTTGATAAGGTTAGAAATTTTGTTTTAAGTTGAGTTTCTGTCCATGAGGGGGACGCACATGGCAAGCGGTGACCAATGTGTGCAGTCAATGCAGCCCAGGACACATACTGTAACACGAGATGGACATATAGACACACGTGGTTATATGGTCCATATGGACATGCATCATACACACACAGCACATACAGCACACACATCAACGTGCTTATACAGGCCAAGTGGCTGATTGTACAAAGGCATCCACAACGACCTTCCTAGAAGCAAGTGCAGCAGAAGCAGTGTGTGTAGGCGACTGTGTGGCCTGTGTGTGTGTGTTCAGCTGGAGAAGGGAAAATTACCAGAACCTATTTAATTGCGTTATAATCATTTGAATACATATTTACCACTCGCCAAAAATTTGCCAACGGGTTGTAGCACTGTACACATGTTACCAGCATATCTGCACAAAAGTGCTTAATGAACCCCATCACTTACTGCGAAGGTGTCATCTGCAGGGGCCATTTTTTAGGCATACAATAGAGCCATCATCCATCGGCTGTGTATCACATGCACTATGTGTTGAGTGTGGCACTATGGAGGGGATGGATAAACGCTGAGCCTGGAATCCCTGAGGCCACGCCGATGCTCGTGTTCCTTTGCTGCAGGACTATATCTCCTCCCTCTGAACTTCGGTCTCTGCCTTTCTGTCACTTCTTCTGCCCAGCTTTTACACATTGCTGTTTCGCCAAATGAATGATGACATTTTTTTGCCTAACGCGTGTTACAAAAAAGAGCGCTCATACACCTGGCATAAGCTGTTCATAAAATCATATCGCTAAAGGCTCCTTTATACCCATCAGCCAGCAATCACCGCAACTCGCATTCCTCAGCTTGACTGCATTCCCAGCCTGTAATGCTCAATTCCTGGGCGCCGCGTGCGTCCTTGTCCGTTTCTACTTTTTGTATCTCGTCTCTCCCACCCTCATTCACGCGCATGGTCTCCACCTCCACCATTACCAACATCTCGTGGACCCCACACATGTCACCTCTCTGTACCTGTACGGGAGGGACACAGGTTAATTTCTACGTCTCTCTCGTACTCGAGGAAGAAATCCAACAGAGCACAGATATACGTTCTAGCAGGCTACTTCCGCATGCACTGGTCGTTCTCTATCACGCCGTTCACGATATCCACCGCGTTCTCGCAATGTTTTACGCACGCCAAGGTTCGCACATCGCAGCGTACGCAGCCACACCCGCTCAACTAGGTGAGCCTTAAACCCGCTGGCGGTATCCAGGGACGCTTTCAACCTATTGAATGATCCTAAAGGTACTCATCCAATCTACATGACTCTCCTTCCTTAGACACTTCCTGGGCCAAAGACCTGAACCAAAATATAACGGGCGTCGTACCAATATCGACACCATCAGACGGCCAAGAACAGGGATCGAAAGTCTCTCTTATACTGCTAAAAGCGCCTCAACTCAAGAATGATATATTACCCAAACACCGTACCCTTTCAGGGGGGCACAAACGTTTTCTACCCGCTCCTCGTGCTTGTCGGCCCTGCATTCCATGTTTCACTCTCACACCATGGCCGAATTCCCTGTCTTTGGACGTGTTAGCTCGCGGCGCCGGCTTGCACTTTTGTGCGCGGTCTACATTGAATGGTCTGCACCGTGGTCAGAGTCGTCGTAATCTCATTCAGCCTCTTGTCACAGCCTTGACATGAGCCAGGCGCGGGGTGCCTAGCTCCTGCTAGATTCCTGCAGTGGGGGTCTGTGTTACGGTCTTGGCATCCTGCTTCGCTCCTCGGACTTCCTGCGCTCTATCTCTGAAGCTTTTTAAAACAACTCAAACCGCCGACACTTGAAGCATTTCCCCGACAATCAAGGCGTGGGGACACACATTCTGTTGTTTTATGATTTCTGCGTCTAAGCAACTTAGGACAAGTTTATCATAGTCGTAAATGTATATACATCAGCTTAGCCAACCTCTTCAAGTACAACAGCGACCCTTAATTTCGACACACTACAACACTAACGCTCTCACGCAACTGTCGCTGCTCGCGTGTTCGAGA